GAAGAGATTACTACCCAACAGACTCCCACTACCGATAAAGATGCTTTTATATGCGAAACATCTTACTGGTCTGCTACATTGAAACCCGGTCAAAAACCAGTGACAACGAGTGAGAAAGTCGTGAAAGTCGAAACTAATGATAAATCGCCAATCACTGTTGAAATACCGGTAGACAATACCATTCAAGAAGTGCCTGTGCAATCTCCAACAGATCAACCAACAACATGGTCAGCTATAGTTCAAACGGAAACAAAGGTATTCCCGTCTCCAGTTATCAAGGAAAAACCTGTAGCTGTGCCCGCCTGGTCCACTGTTGTAATTAGCAAGACAACAGATTTCCAAGATCCCAAGCAACAGCAAGATCTTGAGCATCAGGAAACAACAACTACAACAGTGAAAACTACCTATGTAACAACAACAGTGACAACACACAAAGATATTGAAACTACTGAGGAAAAGCCAACATCATATGTATCAACCGTTGTAACAAAGCATTCTGCTGACTTGGCAGTTGAGCCAGAGTCCAAGGAAACATGCCCAAAAGCAATTGAAACAAATGTGCCGAGCAGTTTGGATACACTTAGGAAAAACCTAATACTTGAAACACAACAACTATATCCCAAATATAACGTGGTGGAAAGTCAGTATGAAATTTTCAAACAGAATAAGCCCAAAGAAATTTCGCCCGAGACTATTGTCGAATCGCCCCAGGATGAGGCATTTATGAATGATTATGTGATAATTGAACCTGAAGCATTACCCCAAATTAATTCTGAAATTCTTGCATTCAATTTAAGCCTTGACAAAGAAAATTTCTTGCGTCCCCTTCCTTATGATTCCATTGCTCAGTTGCATCTTTTAAGCATAGAAAAGTCCGTTGATCCCAAAGTAGAAATTGAGGAAAAGTTGCTTGTGGAACAGCCACAAACTAAAGTTGAGGAAATAGTTTCTGAAGAAGACCTAAAACAACCCGCAACTGAAGTATCAAATAAAGTTGATACAGAAACAATAGTCGAACCCAAACCTGAAATTGAAAAAGTAATACTCATTGATAACTCATTAGAGTCGATTACGACACCGCTATCAATAGCTGAAAAACCAAGTGAACTAATTTGGCATCTGAGTCAGGATAGTTTCTTGAATTATAGGCAAAGGGCAGATGATGCGTATGGACTACTAATGACGATTACTAAAGACTCGACCAAGACGGATTTAGAAAAAACTCAGGAAACCCAGGACGATAAGCATAAGACTGACATCATTACTGAAACTGTAGTGAAAACGACCACGGTTACAGAATCAAGCAAATTGATAACTGATAACGCTGTAGATAAGACTGAACCAGAAGCATCGTCAATTGTAAGCATTCCTAAGGTAGAAGTGCCAGCAACAGCACCTATTGGCGGCATTGATGAGTTACGTTTAAATCTTTACCTTGATGACTGGCGAAAACCCAGCATTGATGTGGATTTATACGAGACAAGCATTGAAAGACCAAAACGTGCTGATGTTGCGGACATTGATACAAAACCAGACAAAGACAAGAAACCCGATGATGTTATCAACCAACCAGACAAAAAGAACGACGATAGTGACGACGATGACGACGACGATGATGATGATGGGGATAAACTGACTGTGCCTGAAATTCGTAAGCCACATGACGATGACGACAAACCGAACGACCGCGATCCTGGTAGTGGCAGCAGTGGCAATGCAACGCCCACACCCGAACAAGATGCAGCTCAGTACGAACAAAATCGCAGCTGCTCATCGGAGTACATGTCAACCGATTTGCCGGGCGGCGTAGGTCATTGGCGGGACCAAAGTACTTATTTGGCTTTAGAAGCCGAACCTCAGGTTAAAATAGAATTGGCACCAACAGTAGAGTCTAAGGATGTTGTTCTAACCGAAACTAAAACCATTGAGCTGGTGCCTTCTGTGCCAGCTGAATCAAACACTCTCACAACAACAACACCCGAAACAAGCCCCCCCACCCCATCCAATGCTACAAACTCAGCTAACGTTGCAAACGCACTAATCCAATTGGCGAGCGCCACAACTCAGACGCTGAACGCTGCTGCCAATGCGGCAGCAACAGCAACTAAAGCTAAAACTCTGGCAGCGACGAGCGTCATTTTGCCAGTTGCAGCAGCCGTTGTTAATAAGCTAACAACAACAATAACATCGCCAACACCAACGCCAACGCCAACACCAACATCAACGCCAACACCGACAACACCAGTGGAGACAACAATCCAGCCCGAGCAGTTGCCGCAACCGCAAGCACTCACAGCACCAGCTGCTGTTGAGTTGCCAGCAACAGTTGCTGCTGAAATGGCGACGACAACAACTACAAGCGAAGAACCCAATAATGAACTGTCTCTGGAAGCAGCTCCTGTTGAGAACACAAATATCGTTAAGCGAACTGTAGTAACAACTACAACGGTAACGACAACAACAACCAGTGAAACGGCAGAAGCAGCAGCAGCACCACCACCACCAACAAAACCAACGTTAGACAGCAGCAATACAATGACAACGACAACCACAACAACAACATCGAGCAACAATTTGCTTGAGCCCCAACAGCAACACCAGAAGGTGAAAATCACATTGAGCGTTCAGTTATTCATAATTCTAATATTTGCAGCTTTTTTGTGTGGTTTTGGTATTTGTTCATGGCTTTTATACGGCAACCGCTCTAATTGTTGTTGTTGTTGCGGCACTGCCTGTAACAATAGCTGCCAATTGCTGCCACCAACAACAGGGGCACAACCTGGCAATGGCCTACAGTAAGGTCGACCATGAGTTTGCTGTTCTTAGCTATGTTGGAATTTGGCAGCATGGCAAGCGCCCAACCAATAACAAATAACAATAACAAATAATAATAACAATAAAGAAAATACACATTAAATTATCTATCTTGTCTATCTATCTATATAAATCCTTATTATACTAACGTAACTCAATTTGTTATAGAAACAAAGTTAATTTACGATTTGCATTTTTATTTTATTAAGTTTTTATTTTGTTTATTTTTGTATATCTGTATTGTACGTGTTTTTTTGCTAAACTAAAGTCATCCTTATATTAAAACTACCTTTAAGATTTAACGTACGTTTAAGATCGATTCTTTCTATCTACTTAGAGTGATTTTTGATTAATGCATTACCAAATGTTCCTTACTAATTGATCTTAACCTGTTGTAAAATCCAGCTACTACTAATATCTATAGTAGTAATGTTTCAGAGTCAAACTCAACATAATAAAATAAATATTAACCAACCTGCACGTTTTAATATATATGTATACGTATTGAAATCTATTTTAGATACATGTTTTGCACTGTTTTATTTTCGTATAGGCACATACACTCTCGCACACACTCACACACACGGGCACGCAGTTTCACAGATTTGCACTTGCACACAGTGCTGCTCAAAAGTGTGCACACCCCATGCACAGGTTTTCTAGCAGAATATGCCCATTGCTATGCATCACACGATTGTTAACTTATGAGTTCATTGCCTTCTCGTCTGCCGCCCTGCAGCCCTCGCCAAATGTTAAGCGATTTTCCTTTTCCTTTTGTTCTTGCGGCATTTTCGCTATAAATAAATTAGAGATCCATGTAATGCAGCCCGTATTACTTACTCAAAAATATCTCAGACAGCGCAAATGTGTGTTTTGCATTTGATTCTTTTAGTTTAGATCGCGAGTTCAATGCGAAATGAGCACAATTTTCACGAAAATCAAATTCTTGAATTCTTAAAAAACTGTGTTTAAAGGGCTGCCAAAACTGAAATACATGACATTTGTGAGTGCAAGTGCAGAATATATTGAACAGTAAAAATATGTGTGGAGTACCCTAAATTTATAGAGCAACGAGACAAGAATAGCAGTATGAAAATTTATATATTTCGTTTTTTTTTTTTTCAAATTATATTTTTTTTACCCTGTACCCATAAAGGAGTTTAAAAGGTTTACCAAAGGTCTGAATATATATGAAATACCCTGGACAATAAGTATGTATTTATATTTAATAATTTGATTATCAGTCCGTATTCAAATATCAACTTATCTTCTTTATGTTGCTATTTATTAAAAATTCTTTATTTCGTATAATCTTAAAATTTAGGCTTTTGAATTTCATAACAATTCCCTAACTATATGTTTTAGTATGAATATAAACTATTTTTATGAATATCTGAATTTTGAGTTGAATGCTGAATGGTATGGGAATATTAATATTTTTTTGTAATTTTCTCGAGACAGTTCCGTATACAGAAATATATTCTTTCTTTGATTACACTTTTGGTGTGCTTCATATGCATAGTCTATAGCAGTTCTGTAATTTCAAATTTATAAAATAAAATACTATATATATACCTCTGGGTACAGGGTAATGTCAGTCGTGTTGGTTCGACTATATCTCAATTTCGCTGGTCCTTTAACTTGCTTTTAAAAAGTATCTATAAGAGTATGTATTCTATGTATATTTCCATGTGCTAGATCTGCTTGCCATTATGTTCAAATTATTTTTCCAAAAAATATTGAGAATATTTTATACATAGTTTCAGTTAAGTAAGTTTCGTCTTTTCGCCAGGAGTTTCTGCATTTGGTGCTTTTGTCTATCCGCTGTCCCCTTCGCCATTTATTCATATTCTGCTGGCCATCATATTTAGCATAAGATTTTTGTATTGCCATAAACGCATGCGTTATGTTAAATCCAGTTATATATCTATGCCAACTATACTATACTTTAAGAAGATATTTGGCCGTGTCTTTGCATCCATTAAAGTAAAATAATACACACTCTCATGTAAATATGCTGTTGTTGAGTGTGTATAGAAGCCGGCAACAAATATTTACAGTTTCGATAAGCTATTTGATGCAAAAATATGCCGTGTTTATATTAATTAACATGTTTATTAATATTCCCCCCACACATTGCACACATGTGACACAATGCAATTATATATATAAATACGAATATATAGGATACCATCACTCAAGAGCTCGACGAACTACTCCAATCGCTCTCAACCATCGAGGATGGCATTGGAAATATGAACCACAGCAGCTTGGAGGGCATGCAACAGGGACTGAAGGTAATTGTTATGTTGCGTTTGGAACGCCTGTGTTCAATCAAGCACGTTCTCCTTTCAATAAATAACAACTAGTAGTTAAATAATCATACTGACACTGTATATACTTGTAGTTAATGATTACCTGCAATTTAAGCGAATCGATTAATGGATGCTGGCGTGTGTCACACAAGTTAAATAACACAATCGCATCATTCCATAAGCAATCGTACAAATCTTTAGCTATATATGTTACAGTTGGAGGTTCTCTGATTAGCGTACTTTTAGTTTTGATTATTACAATCCCATACGGTTATACTATATAGTAGTCGAACCCTTTGATGTCTCTGAATTTGTTATTCAGTTCATATATATATACATACAACACAATTTGTGTTTTTATTTATTTTATTTTTTTTTTGCGTGTTGTTGATGTGATTGGGACAATCGTTTGGTTAATGCATCTCTGTTTTACCTGATGCACAGCTAATCCAAAAGAATCTGGAAGTACATGAGAAGGAAGCCTTAAAACTCAAGGATCAAGCTAAGACATTGCCAACTGACCCAGGAACTGAGCGTTTGCTGAACGAGACAGTAGATCGCATCGATCTACTGTTGAGGCGCACACAACAAGGCATTTCCATGATAGCCGTGAGTATCATCAATCTATCTACCTACAATAGGTGGAATTTATCATTAAACATTTCACCTTAACAGAGCGCGATGCATGGTCAAAAGAAGCGCGAGGAGGAGATCGACGAGTATCAGAAGCATTTGTTGGAGCTTGAGCGTTGGATCAACGACGTCTCGGCCGAATTGGCCTCGTTCGAGCCCACCCCAGATAGCAGCACCGACGAGCATGTGCTAAAGACACAGGTGGAGCGTAGTCAGCAATTGCTGCGCACACTGAAGGATCGACAGCAGTCCATGGATGATTTGGTGGAGCAAACGCGTGAGCTGCAGACACACCCCGATGTGGCGCCATTGGCCGACACGCTGATGGAACAGCTGCAGAGCATCATAATCATCTTGCGGGAGCAGATCACCGTGGCCACAAAGCGCGTCTTCACCATTGAGAAGCGCATCGTGGACCTGCGCAAGGCCAAGCGAGATGAGTCACAGCGTCAACGCGTGCTGGCCGATGCACAAATACTGGCACCAGTCAGTGTTAGCGCAGCGCCCGAATCCATCGAATCCAATGAGAATACAATTGACTCGAGCTCCATGCCGGAGGAGGAGATCAAGCCAACTGGTGTTTATGTAGAGACACAAACATCGCTGAGCTTCCAGCAGCAGCCGGAGCAACAACAGCCCCAGATCGAAACGAGCAATGTGGAGGCACAGACCAGCTTCCAAGAGCTTCCGCCGTTGGCTGCCATCGAGACTGCAGAAGTCGCGCTGCAGACAATCAAAGAACGTGCACCGACTGAAAACATAATGGTCACACAGACTGTGCAGGATGGCCAGGAAACGATACAGATTGACACACAGCTCAACCGGAATATACCCGAATCGCCGGAGGATGTGGAAATCGAGGCGCGTTACCATCAACAGCCCAAGGGCTATGTGGATCGAGCCACAGAGCTGATCATGAAGAATGTGCCACAGGCTTTCGAAACAACATTTGTTGAGCCCGACGAAACCACAACCGAGGTGGTTGTGGGTGCCGATGGCACCAAGCACATTGTCGTGAAGAAAGTCACACGAACGCGTCAGCAAATTGTGCAGCAGCAACAGATTAGCTCCATTGAGACAGTGAGCGATGCTGACGGTAACATTGAAGTGCAGTCAACCGGCCAGATAAATCTGGAGAATGTGCAGACTACGGACACTGTGGCTGACCCAGACCAGAGTGCCTACCGCACCGTTGTCACGCAGCAAACGCGTGGCACGCTGCTGGATGGCTCCCAGCCGGAGGCTGTGGTTGTCAGCGAATTCGAGACGGAGCCGGTCATAGAGAAATACGAACAGCTACTGAGTCCCGATGCGCAAGGCAACTTGCAGCCATTCCGTGCAGCGGCCGGCGAGTCCACAGTTGAGGGCCGTCTAGGTGACAGCAGCATACACACAGTTTTGCAGCAGGTGACTCGAAAGGTCATACGCAAGACGCGTAAGATAATCAAGCGTGTGGTCATCATTGATGGCAAGGAGCATGTGACTGAGGAGGTGGTTGAGGAGCCCGAAGAGATTGAGGTGACTGAGGAGGAGACAATGCCGCATGTCAGCGTGAACATTGTGCGCACGGTGAATGGCAAAGTGGTGAGCGAGGAGGAGTTCCAGAACATGATGCAGCAGCCAGGCGTAGTCATCGAAGAAGTTGCAACGGATCTGTCACAACAGACAGTTGAACCGCCGCAACAGGTATTTGATATTGAGTCTATCAACATCTCCAACACCACCACCACAACCACACAAGAACAGACATCACCAACAACAACAAAAACAACAACAACAACTGCAACTGCAATTACAACAGAAACGACTAAAGCAGCACCTGTAGAATTGCCAGCACCTCAAGTAGACATTGAAGAAATCGTAAATGTTGAAACTATCAGTCCCGTTAATGTTGCAGAATCTGCAGTAACAGTACCTCAAGAGCCCACAACCACTACTCAAGTAACCACGACTACCACCACCACCAAAACAATAGCAACAACATCAGACGGCCTGCCCGTTGTGGAAGATATTAAGGAAATTTGGCCACAGGAGCACCATTTGGTATCCACAAATATAGACTTCTCCCAGCATGTCGAAGAGGTGGCACCACCAGCAGCTCCCACCAGTCCAGAGACATCAATGCCTGCCGAAACCATTTGGCCAACTAGTCCAGAGACTGGCAACTCCATCTCACTGGAATCGTATGTGTTTGAGCCAACGATCCAAACCGCTGTTAGCATCAAATCCGAGACAACAGAGGAAACACAAGAAAAGACTGAAAAGCAACCGGAAGACCCTCTACCTAAATCCAAAACTGACATAGAAGCCTTCCTTGCAGCTGAAAAAGCACAAGCTCTACCCGCCATAAGCAAACCTGAAATTCCCTCTACGCCGATAGCTCAACAGGTTGAACCAGCAACTCAGCCAGAAACAATTGTGGAACAAATTCAGCCAGAAATTGTTGAGGTAGTCGAATCTGTGATAGAAGTGCCTTCTATTGATATTGCCGAAAAGGAGCTGGCGACGCCGCAAACCGATATAAATGTGGCCACACAGCTATTTATTATGGGCGAGGCAGCCGCCGCAGATTCGCCGCGCAAGACCTATCAGATAACGGCGCCCTCTGTTGAGAGCACTGGAGCTAGTGTGCTCAAGGTTGCCATGGCACCGACGGCAGAGCTTGAGGAAAGCAGTGCTACGACAACACCTGCTAAGGTAACCATGACCATTGTGGAGACTGTCACAACACCTGTAGACCAGGACGACGATGCGTCGACGAAGCGAAGTCGAAAGAAAAAGAAGAGAAGAGATGAGCCAGACGAAACGATTGAGCAAAAGCAACCAGAGCCGTTGCCCGTTCCCACTCCCACTCCCGCTCCCGTTCCCGTTTCCGACATTGAGCCGGAATCTGTGCACGAAACAGGCTACGAGCCAGAGGAAAAGTCGGTGAGTGAGAATGTTGATGAGGATTCGTCTGACTCGAAGAAGAAGCGTCGCAAGAAGAAGAAACAAAAGGAGAAATCACAAGAAGAGGAATCACAGGTGCCGCTCTCATCCGATCATTCTCTGCGCGATGGTGATACGACCAGCATGGAGTCCGAAGGTAAATTACGTCACGAAGCAGTCGTGGAGATCAGCACAGAGAGTGACTTATCGAGCATGGATATTGACCAGAGTGTCAAGGTGGTGGAAGACTCGATCATACCCTCACCCACAGAGCAGTCGCGTGATCCATTTACACACGTGGTTATACCCACAGAGATTGTAGAGCTGGCGGCTCTCGAAGATGTGGAACAACAGACGACGCCACGTGTAGCCACGCCTCCTACAACTGCCACTGAACAGGATATGAAATCTTCTCAGACATCACCCCAGCACATGCCTAAATTGGATGAGACAGCGGTACAAACGAGCATCGAAGTGCAGCCGGCTAATCAGGAGAGCGAATCGCAGACCCTGATTGTGGAAATTACCGAAACCGAAGCACAGACAACGCCACGCAGCACTGAGCAGCCCGATCCCATTGAGACACTCAGCACGGAAATGCAAACCGATGAGAATGGCCAGCCTCGACCAACATTGGAAATTTCCAGCCAAACCATTGTGACAACCACCACCGAAAAGGAGCTGCAAACCACTCCAAAAGATTCACCACGTTTGGCTGAATCAAGCAGTGACCACATCATCCAGCCCCTAGTTACGGAATTGGTTAAGGACATGACCATTGACTTGCCTGTGCCCACAAGGGAGCAGTCCACATTCATGGAGGATACTGTCACCAAGGAGACTCATATGCAAACTATAACGCCCGAGCCAACTGAAGTGGTGGCTAGTCAGCCTGAAGCTCCTGTCGAAGTCAGCGATGTTCTTGTGCAGACAACGCCGCGTGAAGAGCAACAGCCGATCTCCCTGGACGATAACTCCTTGACAGCCACATCGATATCTGAACCCTACGAACTGGAGGTGCGAACCACAGTGGCCATTCCCGCGGATTCGGATACGTCTGTGGTGGAGCCAACGCTGTACGAATATACGCAAACAATGCAGCTGCCCAAGCCCGAGAGGAAAAAGAAGAGCAAGGGCAGGCCCGTGCCACAGCCAACTCCAGCGCAGGATTCACAGATCAGTGTAAGCGTCGAAATCGCACCCGAGCTGTTGGGCGAATCTGGCATTGTGCTTTCGACCAACCAGCAAATTGAAGAGGTGCCACATTTGCCGCCAGTGCCGGACTTTGAGCCCACTGAAGCAGATCAGCAGAAGCCACCGCAGCGCGTGCAATTGCAGATCACAAAGACCACGGTATACGATGAATTCCCCGACTTGCCGGTGCACATTGTTGAGCAGAACAAGGTGAGCATTGCCGCGCAGCAGCAGAGCGGCAAGCCACGCGGTGGGCCGACATCTTCGGTGACCATTGAGGAAGTCGCCTCACCCACCGAGGAGCTAGTGGTGCCCATAACGCCAGGCCCAGATAATCTGAACGAACAGAATGTCTGGATAGCTGCAACGGGCACCACAACTATGGATCGCACTCCCATTCAAGCCTCTCAGGACCTCATCATGAGCGAAGGCTTACAGCTGTATCCGGGAACACAAACACAGTTGGCCAAGGAGGCGATTGGCACTCGCATCAAGCAATTGAAGGAGACGACGCCACAGCAGCCAACGCCGCTTACCGATGTCCTGCACTTGGCCACACTGTCCGAGCAGATCAAGCAGCTGCCCACCTATCAGCGTATGGAAGAGGTCAACGAGGGATTGAAGGATTTGGATGAGGCAATACGCAAAGGCGATAAGACTGTTATCCACACCACGGTCATCACAGTCATTGAGAAAGTCTCTACCTGGCTCGAAACTATCGAGTATCGTGTCTATCTCATACGTCAAAACTCCAATGAAGGTCCATCAGAGCAGAAACTGGACAACTACAAGGAGCTGAACAAAGAGCTGTCCACAATCAAGGCGAATGTCAGTCATCTCGAGGGACAGCTGGCCCGGACGGAGAAACCGACGCAGGCGGAGCTGTCTGAGTGCGTGGACACGCTCAAGGAGCACATCGATGCAGTGGAACAGGTGACACAACAGAACCAGGCCCAGGACATCAAGGATCTGGAGAAGTGGCAGAACTTTGAGCTACTCTACAGAGAAGTCACCACATTGCTGGATTTCCTCCAGGAACGCTACGAGCTGGCAATCAGTGAGGAGCATCCGCTGTCCAGAAAACTGGCGCTGCTCGATGACCTCGAGCAGAATCATGTGGCTGGCCAAGAGCAGCTGAGTCAACTGATGCAGACGGCACGCTTCTTCCAGCGTGATTTCCCCAACAAGAAAATACCACAGGATGTGTACAGCACGTATGAGAAGAGCAAGAATATTGGCAACAACATCGAAGCGGAACGTGAACGACTCCTTCAGCTGTTGTTGCTGGCCGAGGAGTACGAGCAGACGCTGAAGAAGTTCACCAATATCACGGTGCTGGCCGACAAGATGATGGAGAGCCCCATTGTGTCCAGCTCCCTGGAGCAGTTGAACAACGAGGTGCAGAAGCAACGCAAGTTCTTCGTCAATCTGAGCCACTGTCGCGCCATGCTGGAGTCGCTCGAGGAGAACATTGATAGCGAGACGCGTGAGAAGCACTCGGAGCTGCACAAACAGCTCTACCAGAAGGCCACGCAGCTGCTGGAGCGTGCTTCGGAGCGTTGCTCGAAACTGGTCCAAGCCGCCTCGCGCTGGACCGTGCTGGAGCGGGGCATGCGCGACGAGCTGCAATGGCTGCAGGTGGCCCAACAGCGTGTGCCAGATCTTTCGGCGGTTACATCCGCCGACTATGATCAATATGCCACGCTCTACCAATCCCTGAGCAACGACATCTCGCACCACTATGTCAAGATGACGCAGCTGTCGGGCATAGCCAACAAGATGCAGCTACTGGTGCAGGCGCCCAATCTGGTCGAGGAAACCAACGATGCCTTGATTGTGCTGCTGAAGCTGCGCGAGGAGGTGGCGCTCTATTTGCACCGCCTGCTCGTCTTCAAGGAGATCTGGGTGCAGTACGAACAGCAGACCGAGAAAATGGAGGCATTCGTGCGCGAAGCAGAACAGGAACTGCGCCAGATCCAAATACCAAAACAGCCCACTGAGCAGCCCATTCCGCATATCAGGCAATTCTGGGAGATTAAGGCCCGCTTCGAGCTGCACAACAACATACGGAACGATGCAGGCCATAGTCTGGAGAAATCCCTGCAAGTGATACCGCTGGCCGACGAGATGTTGCAGCGACAGTTCCACGCACAGCTCGAGGATCGCTGGCAGGGAGTGGCCCAGGCCATCGAGCAAATACAACGCAACATTGTGGACTGCCTCTCCTCGGAGGATATGGCCGCCGACGAGAAACTCAAGCTGGTGGAACGTGAGCTGCAGGAAATCTACCTGACCATGACCAGCATGAAGGGCGTCATCAAGAACGAGGAGGAGCTCTGCCTGTACATCGAGCGTGTCCAGGTGCTGCGCACACGCGTTGGCTTCATTGGCAACGAGCTGGGCCGCATTGGCCTCCAGGAGCCCACAATTGAGCCAGAAAAAGTGGGTGAACTGTTCGCGCTCTCGCACAAGATAACGACACAAATAACCGAGGAGCTGGAGTTCGCATCGGTACTGCGGGATCAGCTGCAGGCCATCCACGAGGGCATCAGCAATCAGCGCAAGCATCAGGCCAAGATCTCAGTCATCCTGGATGAATGTGAGGCCGCTGAGCGCCAAGGCGCCGACGTTATCGAAAAGGCCGTCGCCGATTGCCAGGGCGCAGGCGAGGAGCTCGTTGGCAGCTGGCAGGAGATAATGCGCATACGCCAAATGCTCCATACGCTGCCTATGCGCCTGAAGATGTCCGTGTCGCCGGTGAAGCTGGAACGTGACATTTCTCAGCTGCAGGACGATCACGCCTTCCTTGAGAGCAAGTGCACCAATATTATGGCCATTCTACGTAATCGTCTGGCGCTTTGGCTACGCTACGAGCGCCAGCTGGAGCTAGTGCATGGCTCTGTCCAGGAGACCGACTTCATGATGGAACTGATACGTGTACACGGCCAGGTTGACTACGAGCGCCTACGCAAGGCCACCGAGAGATTGGAGGTAAGCTCTTTGTTTATGTAGTCAGTGATTTATGAGAGGAACTCTGCCGAAAGCAATCGACCAGGCTACCTGCCTCTCAATGGAATTTTTTTTTGCCAGCCTTTATCAGTAACTCGTGAATCGCTATAAAGTCGCTTGCGTTTTCTGCCTATAAAATCGCGTGCGATTTCTGCCTGCTTTCAGTACGTCACGAACTTCTCAATATTCCGCAGCTAAATTTAACTCAGTAATTCGTTCGAAAAATAAAAAAGCTACTGCTGGCGTAGCTGATTCAAAGCTCTTATACTGAAAAGCTCTCTTCGAAAAATAAGCTTTCGTGCGTTGCACTTGCTTTGAGTTTCGTTTCGCCGTTTCTCACGCAGTTGACGTTTAAGCTTCGAATCGCGCGCGTATCGCGTGAATTGTTGCTCCGCGCATATTCATAAATATTAATTTATATTTTAATATTTTTTGTTTGGCGCTTTCGCTCTTCTCCCACAACCCATCCGCACGCTCAGGGCCTTGCGGGCGATCTGCATAGTCGGGAGCAGCTGCTGGACGAGCTTAAGGGCGCCGCCAAGCCGCTGATCGAAAGCTGTGATGTGCAGATAGTGGAGCAAATTGAATCATCCGTACAGGATGCGGTAGTCGCCTGGAATGATACCACCGAGAATCTGCAACAGCTTTGCACACGCTACCAGCGAGCCGTTGAGCTCTGGGACAAGTACCGGAACGCCTCAGCAGCGGTCAAGAACTGCATTGAACAGCAAATGGACAGCGTCAAGTCGTTGGAGCAACCCGTGGAAACCATGCAACATGCCAAGGTAAGTGATTCGTAATTGTTCTAATTGTTCGACTGGGTGGGTTGGGGTGGTGTTTATAGTGGAGTTTTTTTTGCTGTTACCAACTTTTTTTTTTGGCGGTAAAAAAACAACGTCGACGACGTTTAATTGCGATACACACTTGGACCGGACCGGGCCGTAATTACATTGATTTTCAGCCGTAACGCTCGGCCCAATCAATTTTCGGGCGCGTCACTGTAATCGCCTGTAACTGAGTACATGGAAATTGGCTGCCAGTTAGCTAACTCTTACTTATGTGCACAGTCACATATGTGTGTGTGTGTGTGTGTGTGTGTAGATAGATGTGAGTTAGTGTATATTGGTTGTTTGTGTCATAAATTATTTTGTTTGACACAAAAATAGGGAAAGACAAACGTGGTGAGGCAGCCCAAAAAGTTGTAATACTCTTGCAATGGGTTACACGGACTTATAAAGCAAATACTACATTTTATGTATATTTATAGATAACTCGATATCAAGCTAGAATTTCGATTAAAGAGGGTTAGCTGTCCTTTTTACTAGATATTGATTCTCATAGATAGATTATTGGTAGAATTTAGTTCCATGTGTATTATATATAAGAGATTACAGGAACTTTTTCAATAATAGTCGAATTGCCCATCTATACAAGAATTTCCATAAGCAGAGCATTCAATCTTCGTCAATGATGAAGAGATGAAGATGAACATAATTCCGTCTTGGACTACGCTTTGATTTTCGTTTTATTTGCTTTAAATATTAACGCATAGTTTTCTTATTTACGTGTGTTTATTGATCATTAGGGTCATTATAGGAGCCAGACAACGAAGCGCTGTAATTATTTTTGTGCCTAGGTATAGCCAAGCCAACTGTCACTTCACATGGCGGAGTTTATCAACCCAAAAGCATAAGCTCTGTGTTTATATAGCTGCTTTATCTGTTCCCGTTCAACAACAAACCCAAACGAAAATACATCAAATTATAAGAAGACATGAGCATACCTATACATAATATATAATAATAATATATACATACATTTATTCGTATGTATTTGCTTACGAGATTGTTAGAACATGCCTTGGGCTACTCTAAAGCTGTAGATAAATACAGAAATCTTTTTCTTAAATCTGGGCTGGAGAATTTCAATGTCAACGGCACGGCGTTTGCTAAGTATTTTGTTGTGTTTTTTTGTTTTTTTTTTGTGATAAAGCAAAGGCCTAGCCAAAAAATATTTCACAGATGATATCATAGGGCATGCGATAGGGCCGAACGCGTGCTCTTTAAATTGCTTAATGCGTGTGTAGCTCGTTTTCGTTTCATATATTTAAATAGCTGGCGCTGAGCCCTGCGAGTGACCTCTTTTCTCTAAATTGAAATTGAAACAGAAACAGAAACAGCAACTGAAATTGAAAGTGCAGTGAGCACTCACTCGGTGCTCGGTGCTCTTGTCCGACACATTAATTAGAATTAGAAATGCAATTAGAATGGGAACGAGACGGGGCGCTCGCTTGATAAGAAGCATGCGGCGTGCTCTAACTAAATAGATGTAGCCGGACCGGGTTAAGCTAAAAGTGCTTTGATCGTGCTGTATATATAGATCGATGACATTTGCATTCAAACTGAAATAGACTTTGGGATGTGCTACATAGAAAAACAAAATAAATATCTTTAGTCTTTGGGATGTAGCACATCAAACAATGATATATCTTTCAGCTGAAATGATTGCAGGATTGGGGTACTCATATTGCAGAATAGAGTATATGGGAAATAGGGAGCTATTAGATCTACATATTTAATAGTTACTAGTATAAGAATACGAAAAAGAAATTGAATAAATGTAATAGTTAGCAAAAGAAATACATTCCAATTTTCTAGATTTCAGATATGAATATATTAATATAATATATTGTATTATATGTTTCACAATAAATTAACCAAAGCCAATTTCTTTTTTCTTGAACAATCAATAGGTCTGCCAGGAGAATCTTAGCACACAGAATGATCGCCTGTTGGAGCTGCGCGATATTGTGGCCAAAATCGCCGCCGATGTGGGTCTGGATGCCTCCTCGCTGATGCAAGGCGAGCTGGATGCGCTGGGTCAGCGTTTGGCCGAGTGCAAGGATGCCATAACGGCGCTGGCGAATGTGGCCGAGACGCAGGACAAGGAGCGCAAGGAGCTCGACAAGGAGGTGACACAGGCCAAGGTTTACTTCAACAATGTGCAGCAGGTGAGTGCAAGCCACAAACTAACGGAGTGAATGAATGTGGCCCAAGCCGCGAACCACTGGCGGCAACTATCGATTTTAGAGAGCGAGAGCGAGTGCTCTAATGATGATTAGCATATATGGTTAGAGCGTGGCGTGCGGAAATTCCCACAGTGTTGACAACAACAATAACAACAACAACAACAACAACAACTTCAAGCTATAAAAGCAGGCGGACACTTGTTGTTGTTGCTAATACAATATGAAGGACATGCTATTTTAAGTGGGTTAAAAGTTGAAAAACTTTCGCTCCCCATGTCAATGCATGCATGCATGCATACATACATATTTATATATTCTGACAGTGGTCATTATTGATTGTGAAAGGGGCGTAAGTTTCAGTTGGAGTGCGAGCATACTTAATTTTTATTGACCACGCCCCCTCTATAAATATATAACCTGACTAGCCAGCTGTCAGTCAGTCCGAATTCATAATAGCCAACGCAGCTTAGCGGTTGCTCTCTTGTCCCACTGTGCAGCCATTTCAAATTTCCATGCCAAACACACGCGAGTGAGTCTCTTCTGTCTGCCACCTTCGCCAAGCTGCCGCCCCCGGCCGCCCCTACTCAGGTGCTGCCCGTCCAGACAACGTTACAACGCGCGTGAGTCTTGCTTGCATGAGGTCATTGCCAGTTGGCGGAAAGAGTTGCAACGTTGCATACCCTACAAGTGGAGTCTAAAGTATGGTATATTGTTTTCTTTTTTTTAGGCGAAAGGTGGCTTACAATACTTTTGCCAGTATTTCTATTGGGTTACTTAAAAAGAAAAAGTTATAGTTCATTTATTTATTTGATCTTAAATTATTTTTAAAAGGAAACTTCATTCGGTCTAATTAAATTGAAATCAATTTAGCAAACTAATTTATTTAGTTCTTCAACTTCAAATATTTTTGAAAATTAAATTTCTGTTTTATGTTTCAATTATTAAATATAGAAGCAAAATAAACAAGTTTTTCCATAAAAATTTATAGCTACCATCGTTGCTTCTATAAGGCTCTTCCAGTAGTTTTCCTCCTAGTTTTCACATACACAAAAGAATTCTGCAGCATATCTGACAGTCGTATACACCTGGTGTAAAATGATGTAAAATATTCGTAGCTCGCTTTGCTGTTGGCCCATTGTGAAGCCGTGCATTGCCAACTGTAACTGGAGAGCGCCTTGTGCATATTAGGGTCAGGCCAATTAGCCATGCACAAAACGTTGCCAACATGGGGGGTGGGAGGAGGGGCCTCAACACCAGCTGTAAAGCCCGTCACTAATAATAATGCTCTCTTTCTCTGCCCCATAGGACATTTCGCGTGGCGAGCCACAGACGCCCAAGGAAAGCGAGGAGCAGTTGGCCGCGCTGCGTGCCCATCTGCAGACGCTGGCGCGCACCGAGGAGCAGCTGCGTCAGCTGCGCGAACGCCAGCAGAACAACAATGAGCTGGCGAGTCCCGTGGCGGCGGCAGTGGCCGACGACAGCATCTTGGAGGTGCTGGCCATGTGGCAGAAGATATTCCAGGACACCTTCCAGGAGTACCACCGGCTGTCCACGCGCCTGGCCCGCACCCAGAACAGTTCGGAGGCGCTGCGTCTGTGGCGCCAGTACCTGCAGCATGTGCAATCCTTCCTGGCCTGCGCCATACCCGAGGACTACAGCAGCCTGCGCGAGCAGCAGCAGCTCTGTGCCATACACCAGAACCTGCTGATCTCGCAGCAGAGCGTGCTGGCCGAGACCCCGCTCGAGTCGGAGCTGTCGGAGCAGTACAAGGCGCTGACCAACCTGCACAATGAGACCCTCTCGCGCATCATGCAGCGCAATGGCGAGCTGGAGCGCCGGGTCAGTGGCTGGAATGCGTACCGCCAGCAGCTGGCTGCCTTACTGGACTGGCTGCGCCAGCGTGAGGCGGAGCGCAATGCTCTGCAGCTGCGCTACATCCACCTGAAGCGAGTGCCGCACCTGAAGGCGCGCCTCGACGCGCTGCTGCTGCAGCTGACGCGCGGCGAGCAGCAGAGCGCAGCGCTGAAGGCGCAGCAGCAGCAGCTGCTGCAGTACTGCGACGATGCACTGGCCACGGCCATGCGCATGGAGCAGGCGAGCATCAATCAGCGCATCAGCAATCTGCGCGCCGCCCTCGAGACCTGGCAGAACTTCCTCAAGCGCATCAAGCAGCTGGCGGACTCGTATGAGCTGCGCGTGCAACAGCTGCAGGCGGAGTTCGGCAAGGTGCAACAGCTGCTGGACAGGAGCTCAGGTGATTCACTGCCCACAACACCCACCGAAATTGAGGAGCGTCTGGCTGCACTGAGGGCACAGCGTGTCCAACTGGGCGCCCAGACGCCCCTGCTGGAGAGCCTGACGGTTAGCCAGGAGGAGCTGAAGGAGTGCATCAGCCCGCACGACATGAAGGCCATACGCCAGCGCAGTTTCCTGCTCTCTCAGCAGCATGCCGACCTGGACTATCAGCTCGCCGTGCTCATCAATGCCATCGAGGAGCGGCTCTCGCTGCTCTCCAACTACCAGACGCGCTACGGACGTATCTCGGACTGGCTGCGCAGCCTGGAGGAGCGTGTGGAGCGAGACGGTGATGTGACCGCCATGGCCAATCCCGAGCAGGCAGCCAAGCAGCTGGAGCAGCAGATCAACGGTGAGCTGCAGCTGCGCGACAAGGAGCGCGAATGGCTGCTATCCACGAGCCGGGAGCTGCAGACGCTCTATGCGGATGCCACGCCCCAGGCGCAACAGGTGCGCACACAGGTGCAGCAGCAGAGCGACGCACTGATCGACCGCTGGAATCGGCTGAAGTTCATGTGCAAGCAGCGTGCCACCAAGATTGGCGAGCTGAAGCAGACGCTGCTTCGGCTGGAGGAGCGCATTGCGCTGATACGCACCTGGCTGTTCGAGGTGGAGTCGCAGCTGGACAAGCCGCTCAGCTTCGATAGCTACACGCCAAATGTGATCAAGGCCAAGCTGAGCGAGCACGAGAAGATCCAGCGCTCCATTGAGAATCATAGCAGCAATGTGGGCGAGGTGCTCAACCTGGTCGAAATGATGCTCAACGATGCGGACAGCTGGCGCACCCAGGTGAACACCACGGGCCTGGCCTCGTCCGCCCAGAATCTGGAGCAGCGCTGGAAGAACGTGTGCAGCCAGTCGGCGCAGCGCAAGACCCGCATCCTGGACACATGGAACGCCCTGCAGGAGCTGATCAAGCTGACCACCGAGCACAAGAATTGGCTGGCCAAGCAGGAGGCGCAAATGTTGGTGTTCGAGCGCGAACAGAAATACGCAAGCAAACAGAAATTGGAGGAGCGACAGCAGGCGCTGCGCGCCAAGCTGGAGGAACTGGACGCCGAGTCGATTAATCTGCGTAAGCTGGAGCAAACCTATGCCCGGCTCACTATGAGTCCCGGCGTGGAGCCCGAGAACATACAGAAGCTGACGATGCCCACCAAGGTGATGCTGAGCAAGTGGCGTATGTTGACGCCGCGCTGCCACGCCCAGCTGGACGCCATTGACAAGGACGCCAAGCTGATGCGTGACTTCAACACGGCTCACCTTGAACTGACCAAATCCCTGGTTAGCATACAGAAGGCACTCGAACAGGTGCCCAGCGCTGAGGATCAGCTGGCAGATAGCAACGAGCCGAAGGCTGTGCTCCAGCGCCTGGATGGACTAGAGCGCAAGCTGCAGCAGGCCGAGCAACAGGTGGAGCAGGCCAATGCCCTTGGCAAGGAGGCCGAGGTGCGCTCCAAACAGCAGCCGTCGCAGCTGAAGCATCTGCTCAAGCTGATTGCCGAATACACAACGCTCTGGCAGACGGTGCAGACGACGCTGACCACGCAGAAGATGAGCTGGCTGGCGCGTGCCACCAGAGAAGGAGTTGCGCTTGCGGCTGGAGCTGGTGCTGCATTGCCCGTCAACGAATCGCATGCCAGTGTCCAGGTGAACACGCTGTCCCAGCGCAAGCTGCACCAGGCCCAACTGCAGCGCGAGACCTCAATCACGGCCAAGGATGCGTACGTCATGGAGCTGCAGACGGCGATTATCGAGTGCCAGAACAATCTGGAGGAGCTGCAGCGCACCATCGTAGACAAGACGCGCAAGCCGGGTCCCCAGAAGATTGCCAAGCTGTTGGGCAACGCCCAGTCATCCACGGAGCTAGTGAAGCATCTCAGTCATCTGCTGCTCACCGAGTGCCAGGCGGACAACGAAGCTGCCCAAGTGGATGTCGTGTCAGAGCTAGCGTTGCGCTTCGATACCCTGCAGTCGCAGTGGAAGGCGCGCCAACAGCACGATCAAAATGCAAGGTAAGCCACCTCTCCCCATATCGATCTATATAACATATAGGTATATATATGTACCAAATGTATGTATATATACTCTAGTTGTAATTCCTTTAACTAATATAAATACTTGCAAACTGCGCTCTGTAGATCGTTTCCCGTTATATCCGCTTTTATACTATTCGAGGCTCTTATCGGCACTAGGTAGCAAGCTACAACCAGGGATTAGCCTAGTAGGATCTGTTCGAACTAAATTTCCATTTCTCACCTGGGTCCACTTCGGGGCAGTCAAGCTTAGCAAGTTTCTAATTGGACTCAGTGGAAAGCAAGATTAGTTTTTCTCATCAATTACTCAATTTCCATATCAAACTGAATGCAATGTAATGTAATTTTATACGTTTTGTATATAAGAATCATAAATTATATTTGTCATACTCAAATGAAATATTCTCTTTCTTTAAGTCTGGTTAAAAATTAGTGGTAAATTTCAGATCTCTGATTGGGAATTAAATGAATTAAATATTTTTTTTAAAGTAATGTAAAATTGGAAAAAATAATTGAATATATTTTTGGTATTACCAACAATTTTCTACAAGTTCAAAGAAATTGGCAAATTTAATGTTATTGAAATATGGAATTCAATTCAAAATCTAGGCCATCATTAGAATTAGCGCAGATCTAAACTAGCAGAATATCATGAATCTTTAATTAACTGTAGTATTGTCATCTCTGTAATATTGCCAGAGCTCTTCTAAAGTTTGCTAGTATATTTTCTATCTCTTTTCTGTTAATTGTGTTTGGGTATATTTATATGGCTATATGGCTAACAATGTGTTTTATTGCTTTATGTCTCGCTCACTTACACACTCACACACACAAACACACTCTGCTACGTCCCACACACACACACATTTCGAAATGCTTCACTTAAACCTGCGCATTCATGATGGCTCTGCGCCCAGCAGGTGCCTGCTACCTGCCGCCTACAAATACACATGCATACAGTAAGTGTTAACAGAGTTCCGCCTCTACCTAGCTCTACCTCTACCTCTACTCTCTATTTACCTGTGCACTAACCGCAGATCCTACTTACTGCCAGGCAAGCTCCTACTGTGCGCCCTCTGTTTCGTGTTCTGTGTGGTCATCCGCCAGACAAAAGCTGGCATTGCCTTCTCTCAATGGGCTGCCAGACTCCAGGGCGGAGCACAGTAACGCAGCTTGCCTGGAAATCTGCTAAACTGTTCTATTTGAGGTACAGCTTTGAATAGACACTCGGTGCAGGCTTACACTCTCCCACTCCATGTCTGTTCAGCTAGACTAATCACGCCCTCTTCTATCGCCCACACAGTGAGGTCGGCCGGCTAACGTGTCCGCTCTGCACGCAGCGCAATTGGCAGCAGATCGACAACGATCTGTGGCGCCTGGAGCAGTGGCTGCTGTTCGCCGAGAGCACACAGAAAGCACAGACTAGCCCGCCCTCGAACATTGAGCTGCTGGAGGATGTGACACAGGATCATCGCGAGTTCCTGCTGGATCTGGAGAGTCACAAGTCGATCATCTCATCGCTGAATGTTGTGGGCGACCATCTGGCCACCCACACCATGGACACGGAGAAGGCGCGACAGCTGCGCTCCCGCCTCGAGGCGGACAACGAGCGCTGGAACAATGTGTGCATCAATGCCACCAAATGGCAGGGTCTCCTTCAGACGGCCCTTATGGGCAACAGCGAGTTCCATCAGACCATCGATGAGCTGGTCGATTGGCTGCAGCGCACCGAGAAGAACATCAAGGCCTCAGAGCCGGTCGATCTGACCGAAGAGCGCAGCGTGCTCGAGGCCAAGTTCAACAAGTTCAAGGACCTGCGCGCCGAACTCGAGCGCTGTGAGCCTCGTGTCGTCAGCCTACAGGATGCCGCCGATCAGCTGCTGCGAGCCGTCGAGGGATCCGAGGAGCAGTCGCAACACACCTACGAAAGGTAAGTGCAGCGGGCGCCAGTGCCGAGGGCGGAACGAAATGAATGCGTGGGTGCCGTTTCTGCTAAATAGAGATCGTGATGTGCGTAGAGGGGGACAAGCAGCTATTGATAAAGAGCTAGTTGGGCGGCATTTAATACATTATTTCTATTTCTTAGTGTCTTCTACTCTTAATTTGTGTAGTCTTATTTTATTATATTTACTTATATACTACTCATTTTTATGTGTACACATTATACTCTTATCTAAAGTAGAAAACCCCCTTTCCGTTCCCTCTCCTTTCCTTCCTGTAGTTTAATGTAAGATTCAGAAAATGTAGTGCTTGATATGATTAAATAATTGTCTTACTCAGATGGCATATAAAAAGTTGAAATTGAATAGAAAACTTTTATGAAAATTTAGCAAAGAATTAATATTTGTGAAAATTCACTTTAAAAAAACTATCTTGTCTTATAGAAAGATGAAATTTAAAGGGCAGAAAATGATGAAAACTTAGAAAAGGATTTGAAAGGTTTAAATATTGATTTCGTTTTCTAAAAATATATTCAAATAATGGTCCGAAATTTTATTTCAATCATTCTACATTTTGAAAGTAATTTTTTATTGATTTCTCAATTCATCAAGAATTATAAAAATTTACTTCAAATTGCTTAGTTTTTTAAGATTAATTTTTCACGATTGGCTTTGTTAATATGTTTTTTGATATGTCAAAGGCTTGGCTTTGTTCACAATTGTTATTTTATATGCCACGCCACATACCTGATCCCCAAATCAAACATCTGAAAAAATTGTACTAAAAGTGTTCCTGGAACATCTATATTTTTGGCATACCACACACATACAATACACTCTCCTATTATCTATCCCTCGCCCCAATCACGTAGCTTTATGGCTGCCCTTTTAGCTAGTTTACTTATTATGATTATAGTTGGAAAATTTAGTATTGCTTATTCCTTTTGCTTATTATTGTATAAGTTTTTGTGTTTGCTGTATTTTTCTTTTGTTTGCGTGTTTGATTTGTTGTTTTTACTTTCTGGTACTCAAAATTTGATTCGTCCGCCCATTCTAACCCTTCATCAAAACTGACAAACTTAAGAGCCGCCAGCATATGTTTTAAATATTCTAGAACACTTTCCAGGCTAACCGATCTTCGACTGCGGCTGCAATCCCTGCGCCGTCTATCCGGCATCTACATCGTCAAGCTCGGCGCCGTCCTCGGCTACGAGGGCGACAACCTGGGCGTGCCGCTCCAAATGTTGTCAAATGAGGTAAGTGCAACTCCTAACTCCAGTTCCGATTCAAATTCGATTTGTCCCAAGAAAAAAAAAAGAAGTTTAAATATTTTGATTTTTGTAAGCGCACCAAAGTAAGTGAAATATTTAACAAACAAAAAATTGGCTCCAATCGAAAAGTGTGAAAAAATTGATTGAAAATTGTAACAAATGTAAACGAAAACAGATTTTATTATTTTATTTTAATTTAATTTTTGTTTTTCTTTTTCCTTTATATTTGTATGGCAATTCTAGCTTTTGGATAATACTACATTATCAACCTCTTCTATGCAGGCCGCCGCACCCAACACAGAAAATGCAAAGTAAATATTCAATAGAAAATTTGTTTAATTTTGTCAATTTTCAAGTAGTTTAGTTTCTTTTTTTCGTACGATTTGATTTATGTTCGAGCAAAAAACATGCACAAGTACAAATACTCTCAGTAGTTGGCACTTGACATAAATAAATATGTACATATATATATAGTATATCCTAGATATGTCTAGCATGCTTTCTATATATATATAGCTCTATGATCATTTCAATATTTTTACTAATCTATTTGCTATTCACAGTCGCAGCGATGGCGATGCTGCCGATGGCGATGTCATCAATACCACGGTTCTGGCTCGAGGTGCACGATTCCTCGGGCGCGTTGCACGTGCCTCGCTGCCCATACAGGCGCTCATGCTGCTGCTTTTAGGTGTGGCAACACTGGTGCCCCACGGTGAGGACTACACCTGCATGTTCTCCAACACCTTCGCTCGGAGTCTGGAACCAATGCTATCCTATCCGCATGGCCCGCCGCCAACGTAAGCCCTGATGGCGTTGTCAATTGGATTAGTGCAAAATAAATTCAGGGTCAAAACATCCATCTCTCCCCAACTGTGAACAGTTAAGATAGAAACCAAATGTAATTAGAGCACACAATCCAATTACCCCCACCCAACCCCCAGTTCCCACAACAACACGAATATGCCTTTAAAATTGATTTAAAAAAAGAACAAAAACCAGAGACAACAGAGAAGAAATAACAAACAAAAAAAATAATATTAATATTGAAAGAAAAACACAGTATACCATATTATTGTATGTAAGCGAAAATGTTTGTAAACAAAATTCTTGTACAAGATATAAGGCAACCGATCCAACCCGATCGCGTGTGTTAAGTCATGTAAATTTTTGTAATTTTCCACAAAATGAAACTAATTGTATGTATATTATTTTTGGTAGCTAGACAGTCGAAACATGCCGAAATAAATATGTACAGAATGTAAACTGAACCCTACTCGACGAGCATAAAGCAAGAAACATTTGATAAAAAGTAAAAAGAGAAAACAAAATAAGAAAACTAACGATACATAACGAAATACTTTTACAAGAAACAAAAGAAAAATACATATATTAACGATATATACATTATACATATATATTTGCACAGCAAACATTTATATATATATACTATATAAACCTATGCCCAAAATTATAATGCCCAACATTTTGTATATAAAAACTAAGCTGATAAAAATTAAAACGAAAGCAAAAAAAACAAAAAAATACGCACACACGAAAATATGCAACGAGTAGCGCACGCCTCTCCACAGTCCCAGAACCATTGTGGGCGTGGTCGGACGAATATCGTGGAACATGTTCGCCCGGCCCGGCCAGTGGACGGCAACCTTTAAGACAAACCATGACCCACATAGACCAAATTGCCCAGTGCGTGAATCAAGAGTCGAACTATGCCTCCAGTCAGCTGTCACATTCATCTCCCAAATTCTGGATGTGACTGCTGCGCTGGGGCTGTGTCTTGACTCTTGCTTCGCTCACTGGGCACTAGATGACCTCAAGCTGTCTGGTGATAGACGCTGCCTGGAGCCAAGCTCTCTCCCACGGCTCCAGAGCAGCGGCTCTGCAGTTTTTAGCACCCGCCACAGGTGTCGCTGCAGAATCCTCAACTAACCATCTCGCAGCCAAGGCTCTAAAACCTCAAAGCATTCCTAAAACTCATTTCCAAAATTTTTACCATAGACAGATCGAAAATCGAAAAACAAGTCCACTAGCTGTTGCCCCTCTGTAGTTGGCCTGGAGAAGCGTGCGCGAAAGGCGCAAAACGAAGCAAGTGTCCTATGCCGGTGCTAAACCAAATTAAAAAACAATTTTCTTGAAAAAAAAAGATAATAATAAAAAACTGACAAATTGCGTATTAAGAAGGTTAAAAAAAAAAAACGAAAAATGGTTAAAATAGTAATGGAACAGGTTATCTCTCCATCCAGTAAAAAAAAAAAGAAATAAGAAGTCAATCTTTTTGTTAATATTTTTTGATAAACATTATTCTATTTGCCTTATTGATAATACTATATATTTTCTTTCTATTATTTAATGCCTCGGAGCGCAGTTATTGAAGAAGAGCATATATTTATTTAAGTTTATACGATATATATATATACAATATATTTGTTTATAAGTTGATTAAAATGTTAAATTTTTTGTGTGTTTTTGCTGCTTCTGTAAATTTTAAGATTTCCTTTCTTGTGAACAACTGTACCTTTATGCATATATATTAAAGAAATATTTAAAAATAAGTTTCGAGAATTGTTTTTATTTTTGTATATATCTGTAAAAAAAAACTGAAAATCTGGTGCTTAGAAATCTTTGATCCATTGCGCTATGATCTTCGCCTCCAACTGACGTGCAACCGTCACCGAGGGCGGATCCAGTGGATTGCTTTGGCGCAGATCCAGGTGGTGGGCGCCCTCGGGCAAAATGATGACATTTATTTGGTTGTTCGGCGCCTGCAGGACGCCGCCACCGCTCCAGGGATCGAGCAGGCCATTGCTGAAGATGATGTTGCTAGCCGCCTCCAGATTGCGGCCACCATAGCGCATCACGATGTCGTAGGGCCTAGGAATGAGATGGAATTGCTTGTAGCAGTCGTCCGAGACCTTCTTGAAGTCCCAGTTGCTTGTGCGGAACATGGTGTTATTGTTGTTGGCGCACATTGGCATGACCATCTGATTGCAGCTCTGTATCTCCCAGCCCGTGCCGTCGTAGCTGGCGCCGGCATTCGAGTCCTTGTAGTCCAGGCACTTGACGCTGCCCGTGTAGTTCGTGTAGACAGCCAATGCGCTGGCCATGCTGGCAACCAGATCTGTGTCATTCTGATGCAGATCTTTTAGGTAGAAGCAAAGCTGGCGCACAGGATTGGCGGGTAGCGGCGACAGAAATGTGGAGTTGTACGGATAGTTGGCCATGGCCAGGTTGCCGTAGACCTCCTCTAGGTAGTCCATGAAGTTATTCAGATCATCCGCGTTTTTGATGGCATCGCAGACATGGAAGATATCGCTCAGTTGCTTCTTGCCGGCATCTGTGGCCGCCATCGACTCGAAGACCTTCCAGGATCTGCCAATGTTGGCGGTACAGTTGGCATTGTAGGCGTTTTCGAACACCGCCGTGGTAATCTTGTTGAAAATGTCACAGGGTGTCAGACCGGAGAATTGAAGTATGGGCGCCGAGGCGGCCAGTGCGCCAACCACAATGTGCGGATACTTCATGCGGAACCAGGCCGCCAGCATGCCGCCATACGAACCACCAAACGCCACCACGGGCAATTGTTTTCCGTTGCGCAAATAGGTAATGAGCTGAGCGTAGTCCTCCAGTGTCTGCTCCACGGTAAAATATGCCAAATGCTCCGGCTTGCTGGTATTGAAGGTGTCGGCTCCATACGGCAGTGACTTGCCGTAGTAGCGATGTTCGGCGAAGATAACCAGCGCCCGCTGCTGGGCCGCCAGCTCCCAGACGAAGCCACTGTTCTGAGCGAACCACTCGATGTCGCCTTCATTGCCCGTGTAGAAGAAGATTGGGGGCTGCGGATTCTTTTTGTCCACATAGGAGTCGTTGGCCAGATAACGTATGTTGAAGCTCGCATTGCTCAGGAAACTGAAGTGATCCAGCGGCACGGAAAACTCTTTGATTTCGTATTGGAATTTCTCGTTTCCTAACGTGCCAGGCTCAAAGGCCAAAATCAATAAAGCTCCACAAAGTGCAGCAATCATTTTGATGTGCACCTAATGACTCAGATGTTTTCAATTAAATGGTTTAATTTTGTAATCTGCCTTTGTTCTGCTCTGCTTCGGTCAAGCCGGCTTTTCTGACCCCCTTATCTGAAGCTTAAACCAGTGTTTCATAGCGTATAAATGTTCAGCTCAGAGATTCTTTTTGAGTTTAACAGTCGGCGGGGGCAACAAATGTTAATAGGAGTGGCTAACTTAAAAAATTTCAAATTTGGGTTTATGAAGCAAATTTTATATTTTCATTATTTAAGATTTCGGGTGAATCATAATGACGAAAAACATTACATAATCAAATTAAGCAGTAAATGACTTTGTTCGTCTCTGTATGCTCAAGAGGGCATCAAAAGATACGTTAAGTAAGGCTACCATTTGAGTTTAACAGCTGACGACAGAGCACCTAATGTTGGCGATAACGGATTTTTGAAAATAGGACAGCTACGAGTATATTAATAGTATTTTATTGATTAAATAAGAAGAATCCTAACAATTAAAAACAATAAGTAAATAAAGTAGCGTAACATATTTTCTTTGATCAAACTGGCTTCTTGGACAATTCTTATCAGAAGCACGAGCCAGCGCTTCGAGGTATGCGGACTGTTAAATTACGTTGCCATTTGAGTATTACAGTTGACAAGCGTTCAAATTAAGAAAATTAACGGTTACTTGAACCACTAACCAACGGTTGCTTGAACATAATAAACTACTGTAGACTTAACAGCTCAAAGAACCTAAATATCGAATTGTTTCCATTAATAATAATTGACTGGATAAGTAGTGTCTACATGAAATATTATTGTTTGTTTCGCCTGTGTGATAAATGCCATATCAAATGAAAATCGAGTCTCCAATTCCGGCCCGTACGCATTTGAAAAATGCTAAAAACCAAAACACCAAACAGCATCTGATAAAGATGACCAAATGCGCCAACCTTTTCGTAGAGCATCTATATATGTTGCGCTTCTGTTAATACTCGAGGCTCTAACCGGATTGCTGATTATCATCGCTACTGGCTTCTATCAACTAATCTTGTCCAACTATTTGGAGGATCTGGATCAACGCTTGCTATTCAGTTATCTGCTCAACATCTATATCTTTGGGGCAGAGGTGACTGTGACGTTCCTCTGCAGCCACTCGCTGTGGAATCGCCTGTGGAAGAGGCGCTGCACGCCCAACGTTCGTTTGATGATCTCCGTTTGGCTGTTCTACTCCTGTGTGCTGATCGCATCGGGCTTTGGTACCGTGTGGAACATTTACTACAACATTGATGTATTGGAAAACGCGGCGCAGAACTCGCTGCTGCGTGGCATCGACGAGTATTACACATCGCCGGAGTGGAAACTTCTGTGGGACGGACTGCAGTTGCGCAGGCAATGCTGCGGCGTGTTCAGCTACAAGGATTGGATGGAGGCCGAGTGGATGCCCCGTCAGCTGGTCAACAGTTCGTGTCGCAATCGGGTTGTGCTCGCGCCCATCGCCTGCACCAAGCGCGACTGTGAGGCGAAGCTGGTCAGCCACGAGGACTACGGACAACACAGACGGACGCCAGTGCCCACGTTGACCCTAGACTCCATCAACACGAATGGGTGCCTTGCTCTGTTCTCGCAGGGATTGATGCGATATTTCTACATACTGCTCGGGCTATCACTGATGGCCCTGAAGTTTCTGGTGAGCATATTATATTAAGTATATAAATAATTTAATATATATATATATATATTTTTTTTTTTAGATATTTTTATGTTGCTTCACCAAGTACACTCTGCACCGCCAAAATGTGGGCGATGGCTGCGATAATGTGGGCCTCACCGATGAGGATGGCCGTCCCCTGGTCATGGTCAAATACCCGAGGAATGTGCGTTGCGTTACTGTCAGCGAGGATGATCTCGCATCCGATATGGCACCGGAACCGGCCTATTGCAATTGCGAGGAAGTGGGCGAAACTTGCGATTACTGCGACGGTTAGGATTACTATATCATATATGTATATCGTATATATTTTATATATTTCGGAATTATTTGTCTGTTTATGTGTTATTTATTATTATTAAATTAAATTTAGCATATTTATATATTTTTTATATATCAATATTAGTTTATTTTTTAACAGCTGTTATAAAATTATATTGCCAGGTCATTGACTTTAGTTAGCCATCGATAGTTAACCATATCGATGGCTCAGGCTGTCGATAGTTGTCGTGATTGCGATGATGAGTAACAGTAAAAAAAGAAGAAAAAGATCAACAGAGTTGAATTTAATTTTAAAGAGCTGCAGAAAATTAATAAAAAGGACTCCTACGACATTTCACAAAATACCACGAACTCAGCTAAGGCCTAAGACTACAAAAGCTACCAAATGCCAAAAAATACGTTTCTCAGCTCTATTTGTGTATTTTGCTGAGCAGCCCGGTTGAAATCCTTGGTGAAAAATAACGTTTCATCTGTCACTTATTTTTGTTTACAGTTTTTCTCTGTTTAAAAGTCATGTGAGTAAAAATAAGAAATAATTTATAGTTGAAAAAATAAAAACAAGTATTAAATTAATTTTAGGCCGTTGAAGCCTAAGGTGCCGCACATTGTTGGGGACGACGACGAGATGAGTGATGTGAATGACCAAGCACAAATGTCGGATGCAGTTTTAGATAGAGTAACGCCACAGATCCCAACGGAAACTTCGAGCTCTATGGCTTATGGCGAAGAGAGTGAATCGTCCTCTTCGGAATGCTCCGAATCGTCGGATGACGACGGTAGTGATTCAGAGTGAGTATTTAGGAGAAATGAAAACTTGATTTAAAAAATATTTCCGACATCTAGCGATGAGGATTCAAATAGCTCTGCTGAGGAGAAGAAAGAGAAGGAGGAGGAGGAGGAGGATTGGTCTAACAGTATCTCTTACATAGTGCGCACTCCGTAAGTTTCCTTTTTCTATATCATCTTTCATTTAGCAAAAGATTACAATTTATAGAGTACACGAGCCCGAAACTAGCCTGGGTACTTCAGCTATCTCCGCCTCCATAGTTGCCTCAGAAATGGAAACATCAGAAACAGAAACTGCTGAGATTGAAGTAGAGCAGATAACTGATGAGGCAACCATGGAGGGCAATGATAGTAATGTTAAACCGGGGATGTTAACATTCACTGTGCCTA